AACAGCATCGACGTAGTACGTCCTCTGAATACCTACCAGCTGATCCTTAGGCATCGGCAATGGCAGTGATGATGCTGCAAAGACACATTTTTGACTTCTGTGGTGAACTCTTCTCAACACAAGCTTGTCAAGGTCAACTTCCCAATGGTCATGATTTCGGTTCTTTCCTCTTCTTGGGATTTTCTGGAACAAATCAATGTCCATGGGACTCTCCCCGGGTGATTCGGGTGCTCTGTACCCTTCCGGTACTTCTGTTGGCTCATAGCCTTCACTCATCCGATCATCCTCGATAGGTTCCGGATTCTTTCCGATCTCATATGGATTCGTTGGATCCTCTTGCATTGGCGTCGGTTCGGTATCCGCTTCCTGTCCCTTTGGCGCATGGAACGGAACATCATCAAACTCTGGAAATCTCTCTCCAGTCTCTTTCTCTTCATGCTCGCGATGAAATCTATCCCACTCATCATCGATAGACTTTCTTTTCCTCTTCTCTCGTTCTGACTCTGATTCTGGAACTCTTTCTCCCGACTCTTGCTGAGATTCAGGCTTTCCTTCGGTATCCAAGCCTTCTTCCAATCCTTCAGGCGCGACGGGCACAGACGACTCGTCTTCGATCGGTACTATCCGTTTGTACTCTTCTTCAAGATACTTTTTGTAACGGTTCCGACGCTTCACTGAATGACCTGTTTCACTCCCGTTCGAACAAGCTGGACATCTCGAAGTCTTATTCACTTCACTCCAATACCAAGGTGGTTCCCCTTCATGGATGGGCAAATCAACCAATTTCTGGGGTTTCGAAAGATCATTCGGTAGTCTTTCAATCCTGTCTGGCTTCACTCCACTCTTGGAATTTGGAATTTCACACAACATCCCAAGTCCAGCGACAAAACGAATCGGTGAGGCAATCTTCAAGTCTCGAACAGGCACAACCACAGTCTCATCCTGTGAACCTTCGAAGGCAACGAAGTGACCTAACGAAGATAACTTTGGGGTCAAGTAAATGCCTGGAATAAAGTGACGAGCGTTTGCTTCTCTGACCTTTTCTAAGTACCCATCAGTCGGCCTGGCAAAAACCAAGCATCCAAATGGCATCACACGATTGTTGTTTGGGACTTCTCCTGAACTAGTTACACTGATGCGCATGCGTTGATACGGTGTCAGCGAACTGTTGGCTTGCAGCTGAAATGCATTGTGGACATGACAAGCGTTTGCTGCAGCGTATCGAAGGCTTTCACTACCTAGCATCAACCCGCGCTGGTACAACACTGTGCGAATACATCCTAGTTGAGTCTTGAGGGTCCTAACTGCTCTCTCGGCTCCAGTTGCGTGTCTTCCTGGACGACTGGTCTCATGTCTTGAGACTACCTTCAATCGAATGAGTTCAGAAATGAGCGCAGTCAAGTCACGGCCTTCATCACTGAGAACCATCGCACCTGTGGACGAACAATGGTTGATGGCAGCTGTCAAAACACGAATCGTCGAAGCTTGATCTACATAGATTGCAGCTGTTGCTATCATTCCGTGCGTTCGATTCCACATCACAACATACCTATACATGTTTGGAGACTTTGGATGGGTGCATAGGTTGGCAATATCCATCTGGATCTCGTTGGTGACTTGATCTGTGCGTTTTGGCGCTCGTTTCAATCCCTTGCTCATGAGACAGACTGCACAGCTTGGGTCATAAGGTGTGTGACTCTGCAAAATGTGCTTAGCTAGTCTGTTACCTCGTAGCTCGATGGGATATTCGAACTCGAACTCAGGCTCTGACTCAACGGTGCAAACGACTTCCTTTTTGCGCACGACGTCGAATGCTGGATTCGAAAAATGCGCTCTGGCTCTTATCGGCGGCTCGACTCCCCTTTTGGGAGGAACCTGGACGCTTTGGATATCATGTCTTCCTTCGCGTCCGACGCTTCGGACATCGCGTCCTACTTCGCGTCTTCCCTCTTGTCCGAAAACTTGGACAGATGCTCCTGCAGTTGCTTGCGGTACAATCTCTTCCTCGGACAATGGCGCTTGAAGCGCTTCTGGCGGCGTAGCGGGACTCTCCCCCACCATCGCCGTCGGTTCCGACATTGCCTTTGGCGCTGGTGTCAGAACTACTCCTCCCGCTGTCGGTGGCACTGCGGGTTGCTCGAGAGAAATTCGTCTTGCCTTTCTCAAATTCTCTCGATCTTCTTCTTCTGCCCTCCATTGCAGGAGATCTTGTTTTCCTTTCTCGAACTCTTCCTGCCGGCGACGCTGGACCTCCTTTCCATGTTCCAGGGCTTGTGCCATCCTCTCTGAACGGTACAAATGAGTTTTCTTTGCATTCGGGTTGCCAAAATGAATCGGGTTACCAGACCTGGCTGCTGCTTCTGTCAATCAGTGAGCTGATTCAGATGATGCTTTCAGCAGCTAGCGCCATGTAGGACTTTGGGTTCTCGCATGTGATTCCCTGCTTCTGCGCCGCTTGCAGTGGCTAGAGGCTCTGCGACTCAATCAGTGAGCTGAGGCTGATGCTTTCAGCAGCTAGCGCCGTGTAGTACTAAGACTGTCTTGGGGTTCGTGTGTGACTTCCTACTTAGTGCCTCCGTGATCGGCACTGAGTGTGTTCTGCTGGCGCTGCCTTGTCCACCAACTTGTCTCCTTACATGTCTCCCCACTTTCTGCTGGCGCTGCCTTGTCCACCAACTTGTCTCCTTACATGTCTCCCCACTTTCATGATGGGGCGACAACCTTATGTCGCACAGAGGGTTATTAAACATTTTTGTTTTTGTTTCTGCATATAGTGAGCTTTATACCTTCAGGGTTTTCACACTTAAACCTCATTGCAAACATCATTCATAGGGGTCTATTTGGTTGGTTGGGTTTTACGCTTTCACCGGCATCACGGAAAAAAACCATGGAATGCTTTGCAGGTAAAAACATGCGAACATACACCGCACTGCCTTGCGCTTCCAGCCGAGTGGGAACAGGATCAAACTGTGTCAGTCCTAGTTAAAGTCAACACGCACAAAACGAAACCAACGATGGCCTTACTACCAGGAACAAGGACGCTATTAGGGGCTCTTGGCCTTACTACTAGGAAAAGGACACTACTAGGGCTCCTGGCCATACTACTAGGAGCAAGGACACTACTAGGGGCCCCTGGCCTTACTACTATAGTAACAAAGACGCTGCTTGGGGCTCCTCACAGGACGCTACTAGCCTTACTACTAGGAGCCAGGACGCTACTAGGGGGTCTTGGCCTTACTACTAGGAACAAGGACGCTGCTAGGCCCTTGGCCTTACTACTGGGAACAAGGACGCTACTAGGGGCTCCTGGCCTTACTGCTAGGAAAACAGGACCGTGAAATGAAGCCACCATCGAGGGAGTGAACACTTTGAATGGAACAAACAGTGGTTGGCGCAGCTCCCAATTCTGTTTTCATTCAGCTCGGAGCGGTGTCTGTCAAACCATCAGTCGATGCTGAAGGCATCAGTCGATATCTTCCGGGCGAGGCCGTGCAACAGGGCCCTTCCCGCCACGAGCAGCAAGAATTTCCGCATCTAAATCCAAGGAAGGTGGAACCGGAATTTCCGGATCCTCTTCCTTCAGCTCTTCCTCGCCTCCCTCAGCCGCAGGCTGCTCAACCTCAACGGTCTCATCGGTCTCAACGATCTCTGGCTGCTCACTGGAAGGAGGAGCATTAAAGGTGCCATCAGGACCACCTGCTGTTTCAGCACGACCACAAATGAACGCTGGGACAAAAACATAAGAGCTGGATTGAATTTCGACAAAACAAAACTCAGTCAAGAAGAAGCATGACACGCGCAATGAGGGAAGCACCGGCTGCATTGAGCAGCACAAGTTCAGCCTCCAAAGTCTCCTGACTTGCAAAAAAATTGTCCATCATTTCAACATCAGCTGTTCAATCTACTCAAAACTCAGTACTACATACAAAAATCTTTAATTCGGGCTGAGGAAATTGAGGAAACGACCACCACATCTTTCACAAATTCATCGGACTTGCCCTCGAGCAGGTAGTCACGGGCAATGACCTCAAATGAAGACGTGGTGAAATGAACAAAGCACAGCAAACTAAGCCAGACTTGTCTAACCAAGGTCAAAGCAGCAATCTCACGGCATTTGTCTTGATCTCGGTACTTGAGGCCACCCACCTGCGACTCAGTAGGTCAAGTAAGTTGGCAAAACACAGGCTCAAGCGATCGGCCTGAAAGATCTGTTTCTCATTGCGCTTGCAAGCGAACTTACCGGTGGCTTTGTATTGGTAAACAGCTGACACCTTCATGGTCTTGCCCTTCTTCTCACCTACAGAAACCAAAATTGGCTCAATAGTAAGATTAAATCTTCAGTTCATCATGTTTAATATCAAAAACAAGCCTGATTCACCAGCGCTCGGACTGGCTGCAGCTGGGCGTTTCATTGGGGAAGAAGCTGGTGGTGTCTTCTTCTCTGGGGTCTTCTTCTCTGCGGTCTTCTTCTCTGGAGTCTTCTTCTCTTTTGCTGCAGCTGGCTTTTTCATAACAGCATCGGAACCTTCTGCACTTGCTTCAGGTTCTACTGGACTGGGACTGGGTTTGGCTTTGGGCTTCACACTAACCTTAGGCTTAGGCTCAGCCTTAGGTTTGCCTTTTGGTTTTCCCTTCGCCTTGGACTCGGGTTTCGGCTTCGGAGTTGGCACGGCGCGTGTCTCGACCTCCTCCTCATCTGACAGCTCGGTAACAGGGGCAAAAACATTCATCTTGCAAGCAGGAATCAGCCAGCGAACCCGAACAGCAATCACGGTCGGAGCAAAAACACCTGCGAATTAAACTGCTGCCAATCACAAAGTAGTTGCGCACAGTGACAGATAGATTGAACTCTGCAGAAAGTAGGCTGGCCATTCAAAAAATGGCGGAAACGTACAATTCGAAGTGAGAATTGTTTTACCACTTCATGTGAACTGCCAGCGGTAGGTCGTCCCAAATCACGGATCTCTGCCAAAATTCGCGAGCTACAGTGAGAGCTACAGCTACGAAAATGTCACATCTTGGTCCACGTGTTGGGAGGGAGAGTGACTGAACCCGTCAAATAGATCTTCGGCTTGAGGGCCAACCACTCTGGGGCTGCCTGAGCCTGTTTGCAAGTCCACCTGAAACAATCACTTCAATGACTCTGAGACGTCAAAGTGAGGGCCGAAACCATATTGTTATTGCTCTGTCCTGAAAATGTTTGAATCCGAGCAGCTTCCCAAACCACTTGAAGCGCAGACTCAGCACCACGGGGCAGCTTGTCCATGTGTCCACAGAATCCGGCTCCAATCATTGCATGCCTGATGTTGCAGCAGAAGAAAAACATCAGTCAGACACCTTTTGAGATAGTTCACATCGAGCACACATCTATATGCTCGCGTTCATTCAATAATGCTATGGGTGAAGAAAACTATATCTGATATAGTAATGCCCTGGCCTGACAGTGTCATTTGAGCTTAACATGTTCGGCTTGAAGACATTGCACATACCGTTCCGTGCAGGACTCATGCCATACCTGTACGGTACTGGAACGGCTTCCGCTGAGTCCTCCTCCTAGCAAACGCTGGCATTTCGACCTGCAAAAAAACAAAATGGATTCCTTGACATTTTTTCATGTTAAGACTGCACCGCTGACGGTTCGGTCCAAGGGATAGGTCTTCTGAATCAGCTGGTGGTTGGAAAAATCAATCTCCGCCACTCCGTGCACTGTCATGCAGTGGTGCAAAAAGTCTGCAATTGCATAGAGCTTCCTCTCGTAGGACACCAAGCAAAGGTCGGAGGAAAATCGAAAGCACACGCCATCAAGTTCTGCTTCGCCCAGACCTGCCGACTACAACAAACCCCAACTCCCAACTTCCAAGAAAAGTTTGCGTGCAAAATTGAAAATTGGAGAACTGTTCAACATTGGAGAGGCCTGCAATAATCTTTTGCTCAAATGTTCCAGTGTTGAAACCGCAAATTTCCATCGCAGTGAGGGACATCTCTTGGTCCGTCTCGTTGCCAAGGTGAATCGCAAAGTTGGAGTCGATCACCACAGCTGGCTTGCCCCGAGCAGCAGGGCAGTACCACTTCCTTCAAGGTCGTTATCATTATTTTGACAAGGTCATACCAACAATTCAAATTAAATTAATGAAGAAACAGCACCTGTCCTATGAAAACAATACCATACCATGAATGGTTTAACAGCTCCAGTCCTCTCAACCCCGAAAGCGCTTGCAGCTGTGTGCGCGGCTTGGATCACACGGGATGTGTCCAGAGGGCGCCCGCCGCCGTCAATGGAATAGTCGGGACGACCCGAGGCCCGCACCGTCTGAGGCCGAGTTGACGTTGGCCTATTGTCTCCGCCTCCTGCTTGAGGGAACTCTTGCAAAAGCTCCTTCTTCATGGCGTGGATCTCACTGTGAGGGCCCGTTCCCTCACCAAACTTCGTGAGAAGAGAGTCAGGAAAGCGCGGGGCACTGTTTACCCAACTCAAGAGCTCAAGCGTCGGCTCTGCAATCGATTCAGAAGGGCGCTGCTTCCCAGGGGCCATGTCTGACGAGTCCCAGTACTTGTAGACTTTGTCCTCAATCATTGTGGCGGTGTCCCTCTGCTCTTCACGGAGGAAACCCAGGTAGTAGAGCGGTGGCCGCCGATTGGACTCGTCAAGGTGTCGTGCCAAAATCGCTTGTCCAAATTCACAGTACCTCCCAAGCAAAAGGCTGAATGTCCGATAGAAAACATGGGAGCCTGGCGTTTTGAAAGTGCAAAATATGTTTCATCAGCCCACCGATTCGGCAAGCAGTCCACGAAAATCACAATGTCTCCATCTTGGCATTCAATCCCTCGAAGGTAGGAAGAGATGATCTCACTGTGAGCAGGGATCCCTTTCCTTGGCCGTTCATTCGAACCTAATGAAAGAAGATCACAAAGATTACAGAGTTGGTTGTTGATGTTTCTGCAATTTTGGTGGCTTCAGGTGCATTAATTAACACTTTCATTTACTGCAATAGACCTTGGCTGGATCAACGGTATTAGATATCAAGCTCAACGAGCATTCAATCATTTAATGATTTACTGCGATAGACCTTGGCTGGATCAGAATCAACGATATGATGGCGAGCTGCCAGCAATAACAGGATGTTTCTTTCGCCTGGTTAAGCAGTAAACTTCAAGTTGACTGTGTACAATACCAGGCGAAAGGCCATTTCACTTGGTGTGGGCATAAAAAAACGACTCTGTCAGGCATTGCGCTGAGGCGCTGTTCCGTTCTGCTGGCTGCTCCGAATCGATTATCAGGATCAAACCCAACCATGTCTGAGACGCGCATAAGAGGGCATGGTCCAATGACACCCTTGGTGGCTGCTGCACAAGAGCTCCAAGCATTCTGCTCATGGTCCAAGGCAGTGACAAAGAGACACTGATGAAGGACGCTTCTGCGATCGTTGGCATGACTTCCACTCTTGTCGAACGACAGCGCGACGTGTTGTGTCACGTCCATGCGTGACTTTTTCAGGGAGTCCTCAAGCACACGTTTATGCTTTATCCACGCCTCCGTTGTAGTTTGCTTCTGCATGACAGGTACTTGGCAGTGACCTACGTGCAAAGGTGCCATGGCCAGGATCTGTGCAAAACTGCTCAAGCAGTTCTGAACGTAGGAGGAGTTGCTTGGCCAAACGCATAGGTCTAGACTGCAAAGCACTAGCCTTGAATGACTCAACAAGAATTGATGAGGATTCTGACAAACAATGCGAAAATTGACAGTAGCCAGTCCAGGGTCTAAGACTGACAAGGAACACTCTGCCTGTCGATTCTTTGGCAGCCCACTTTGAAATGAAGCTGGCTGTCTCAGCAAAGGATTGGCCCGCTGACTCTGTGGCCTTTGGGAAAACAAATTTGCACTTCCAGTCCATAAAGTCTTTCGTGAAGTCCTGTCCCTTCCTCGATGCGTGACTTCAGCCCAGCTTTAAACCACCCCACAACAGTTCACCAACAAAACCTAATCAAACTTTAAAATGATCCTTCATTAAATAGGGCTCTTCTGTCGATCTGCTAGGTACTTCTTGTCCAGGGCTGCATCCTTCGCTATCTGAGCCTGGTTGGGCACACGGCATCGCAAGGTCGCCATGTCTTTGTTGAACTGACGCCGAATCTGCTCAACTGTTGCCGAGTTGATCTTGTCTTGGATCTCTCTCTCGGTTTGCTGAGCTTCGCGAAGTTTCCGCTGTTCTACTGCAGTGATCATGTTCCTGGAACAAGCGGGGCGGGAATGGCACCTTAAACTTTCTCAAACAAAACAATATGACATGAAAACAGCTCAACGTCAAACAATCTTCAAAGCCGCTCATGTCCTGACGAAGGGCACTTGATCCAAAGACACAGGCGGCACTGCTCCCTCAAGGAAAGTCAGAATGTCACCGTCCAAAATTCCAAGCTTGAACTGGTTCCAAAGGTTTGGCAAAGCCTCCTGGTAATCCTTCTGTGGAACGGACTCACGCAGCTGCTGGATAATGGCGAGGAAGCCGCCACTCGCAGCATGGATGCTCCATGCATCTCGGTACATCCAGCTTTTCTTTGTGCTCGCACGGTCCCAATCGCCCTCAAGCCGGTCTAGAAAGCACTCAACCTCAAACGGCAGGAAAATAGCAACCGATTTTCGCAACAGGGTGCACAAAAAGAAGCTTTTGCTTTCATGTCCTCTCGGATTATGATGGAATTATTGCACCCGAAACCCATTAATACAATAACGGAGGGCCTGAGGATTCAAAAACAATATATATATATATATATAGCGAAGAAACCAGCGCATTGTCGCTGAGGTTTGTGAGCTCAGCTTGCCATGGGATCAAAGCGCCCGTCTTCCCAGAGCTCCATCCCTCATTGAACATTTCAGCCGCAATCACATCGTGAGAAAGCCATTGGCGCATACCTCGCTTCCTTACGCCAGCTCGTAGCTTCTCAACCATGGCTTTCCCAATCCTCGTTTGTAAATATGCGACTGCTTTCGCTTCCTTGTCCCCGATGTGGAAGGCTCGCGCAATCGATGTTGAACTGTGCCACTCCTGAGGGCACAGCTGATCAGTAGCGGATTGAAAGATTTAGCAGAGCATTAGACAGAGCAACCCTCAAGTCGAAAACTAAATCCGAAAAGCTTTTTGATTTGTTCACAGCGACTTCAAAATCTTGGCTTTCCCCGCTCTTCTGAAGCACCTCTAGCTGACGAATGAAGTTCATTGCGTTCGGTGGGCGTCGCGTCTGTGTGGATGACATTGTGATGCCTCGCAATATTCGAGAACACTATCGCTACCACTACACAACACAACCTGTCACATTGACATCTGAGCTAGCCTTAGCTGTATCCCTAGAGCAGCACCGCTCACTTCACCAAAAAATAACCTGCCTCGAGATGCCCACACTGCTTCTTTTGGAGTGCTATAGGCAGAAACGGCACCATGAACAACTCGCAACGAGGCCTGCCGACGGCAACATAGAATTGGAACCGTTCCAATCTGTCTGACGGCCTACTCGACAAAAGGAATTCAAATAAGTTGGCTTGAACGGCATTTGTAAGTTGTAAGTTGTAAGTATATAATTCAACCATTGCGATGGCGATACTTCAAACCACACAAACTTGCCACGAAGGAAACTGAAACTGTCATGAAACCCAAGCTAAACTGCTTGGAATGGATCACATGAACTAGATTCAATCCACGAACATTGCCTTGAAGGAATCTGTGAGTTCTGACAGCTCAATGCCCAAAGATTTGACACCCTCGCATATGATTAGAGCAGCAAGTCCACGACGCCACCCTTTGATGAACCCAATGGAGAATGGGCTCAGGATACCTAGGACTCATAAACGAAACCTTTCGGTGTTTGAGAATGTTTGGAACATGCAACTTTGTTCATGATCCAGTCATATATTTGCGCATCTTGAGGGCTGAACCCTCCACTAGTGGAGGAAGCTCTTTGTAGGGGCCTTCGAGCCAAGCTTTAGAAGGAACCGTCACGTTCAGTTTCTCGGCGCCCGCATTGGCGTCGGTGCGAAACCTAGAAAAAGAGCTGGGGCGCCGTCAGTGTAC